CCCACCATTCTCGGACGTGGCTTTACACTTTTCTTTTCGGGGTTCCTTGGCTTCTTTTTGGGGGGGTGGCTCCAGTGGGGGAAAACCTTTAAGGCCCTTACCATTAAACACCACCATTCTCCACAGCATTTACAACCCCTGACTGCACCATGAAGAAGCTTTCCCTAAATTCCTGGTTCCCAGGGCCACACCCCAGGACCAACTGGACACACAACTCTTCCAGGTGGGGACCTTAGGCTTTAAGGACACAATATTCATACCCACCCCCCAACCCCTCCCCCCCACCCCCCCCAAACCCCTCCACCCCCCCAAACCCTCTATCCCACCCCCAACCCCTCCACCCCCACCCCCACCCAGGGGATCGCAAAGGCACAGCCCAGGCTGAGAATCAACTCTCCTCCTAGAAATGGTTCAGCGCTGGGGGTGGGGACAGCACCGGGGTGCGGCTGGGGTCCCTGCAAGAGAAGGAGGCTAAGGAACCCCCAGAATGTCTCCAGCTTGGTGAAGTGCAGGAAGCTTCCAAGGTGCCCAGACTCTCACTGACCGGGGCTCGCCCCCCCTCACCCCCCCAGCCCAGGGCCCACCAGCATGGCCCGACTCACCGGTCGGGGAGGAGACCGACTTCCCGATGTCCGCCAAGGAGCGGTGGATGGGCTTCGTGGTTTGGTGCCGGTGCTTCCTCAGGAGGACGTAGCTGACCCTCTCCCGGAGCTCCGGCCGCAGGAGGCCGTCCTCGATTTGCTTCTCAATGACGTCATCTAAGGGGACAGAACGGGACAGAAGGAGCAGGGTTGTGGGGTCTTCGTTTCCTCTGTTATTTGTGGGATTAAAGGTGAGCTAAAGGAGGCAGGATGTGGGCAGAGTCCTGGCTCTACCCACAAACTGCTGAAACTCGGGCAAATCACGAACCCTCACCTCCCCGTGCCCAAAAGGGTGTGCCCGCGTCCGTGCGTGTGCCTGTGCACGCACGCGTGTGGGTGCGTGTGCACGTGTGTAGCATTCTCTGCTCTATCAATTCTATTGTCAAAAGCAAGTGACATCAGCTCTGGCCCGTGTGGCTCAGTTGGCTGGCGTCATCCTGTGCCCGGTGCCGGGAAAAGGTTGCTGGTTGGATCCCAGCCAGGACACTGGGCAGGGTTGTGGGCTGATCCCTGGTAGGGGTTTCGCTCTCACATCAATGTTTCTCTCTCTCCCGCTCTCTTTTCCTTTTTCTCTCTCAAAAACCAATGTAAAAAAAATATTTTTAAAGTAAATGTAATCATACATATGGAAGTTCCCTTAGAAGCACAAAAGTACCAGGTTAAATGACTTGAGTCCTAACGTGAATTCTCCTTAGGAAAGTATTTTGGGCAAAATGCTTCTGGCACCATTGAATGTGCTAGAACAAAATTCACAAAAAGTTTGAGCGATGACAAGGCAAGCCACCCCCGCCCTTTGCCACTCCACGAAATGAGGGCTAATTTCCTAAAGAGGAAGGATGACCCATTCACCCCGCGGGAAACAGGTTGCCGCGGCCACAGTGTCTGCAGCTACACTGAGAAGCCCTCTCCCCGGCTGCACTGCATTTCAGAGGGTGATCTTTCCCTCCGCTGGAACTCTACGGGGGGCTGAACCTTGGAGCCACTGCGGAATCAGGCAGTGTCAGAGGTGAGGATGGACTGGGGTGGGCAGGGAGAGCTGCCCTGGTTTTGGGGGCCTCCGTGGTCCCCACTCACCTATGATCTGTGGTAAGGAGCCGCTGTCCAAATCGAGCAGCACCGTTCCCGTCTGCAGGCAGGTCCGGAGCTCGAAGAGGCTGTGCAGGGACAGTGTGGCCACGTGGGGCTTGCTCCAGCGTTCGCCTCCTTCCTCCACCTTTTCTTCAAACTTTATCCACCTGGGAGGGGTGAGGATGGGGCTCAGCGTGGCCAGGGTCCTCAGGAGGGGCCCCTAGCTGGGTCTCCTCAGGAGAGGGTGTTGGCCTGCAAGTTATTCTGTGCTCGGCGTTGGGGCGTTGGCTCTAGAGCAGTGGTTCTCAACCTTCTGGCCCTTTAAATACAGTTCCTCATGTTGTGACCCAACCATAACATTATTTTCGTTGCTACTTCATAACTGTAATGTTGCTACTGTTATGAATCGTCATGTAAATATCTGATATGCAGGATGGTCTTAGGCGACCCCTGTGAAAGGGTCGTTCGACCGCCAAGGGGGTCGCGACCCACAGGTTGAGAACCGCTGCTCTAGAGTCTAGACTCACAGGTGGAGGATCTCTCAGAGACCCCCTCCCTCCCTCTGTCCCCACTCCTCCTGGTGCTGTCGTGCTCAGAGCAAAGTGGCATCCAGGGAATGAGCACAAATGGCACAGGGGTCTTTTGCAGAGGTGGTGGGCATGCTCTGAAGCTGGACTTGGTGACGGCTGCACCCCTTTGCACAGATACTAAAAACCCTTTAACTGCACACTTACAATGAGGGAACTTTACGGTGTTCTAGAACAACAAAGCTGTTAAAGTCCCCGTTGGAACCTGGTTACCTGGGGCTGGACACTCGTGTGTGCAGTGTCTGCCTCATGGGGGGTGGTTGCTGGGAGCATTTCCTGACGGGTTCTACGGCAGGACCTGTGGTTCCCAAGCATGTGCCCTAGACTTTTATCCTGAACGTTCAGGTTAAAATCCAAATGTCAGCTGGGGAAGGAAAGACGTTAGACCACGGATGTGTGAGAATTTGTCCTTTCTAGAAGCCTTGGAATCAGCTGGTGGAGCGGGCTGAGGGGTAAGGCCTGAACAGAAGTAGCACCTGCCTGGGCCTCCCTGCAGGGGGCAGCACCTGATCGCCTGAAGAGCTACCTGGAGCGCAAGGTCGGCGAGCGCAGCTCTGTAAGATGTCAGCTCCAAATTAGTGGGGAGCTTCCAGCTGTTCCAATCAAACCCCAAGGGAGTGTTGTGGACCATGACTACCTAATTCTAAAGTTCCTCTGAAAACGGTACCGTCTGAGAATGGTGGGGAAAGTCTGAAAAAGGAGAAGAATGGGGATGGGACATGATTCTAGCAGATATAAAACTTTCTAAAAAGCTTCAGTCATTAAAACGTGCGGTTCCAGTCCAGAGACAAAGGGATCATGAAAACAACCTGGACCCCCATGGGAATTTGGGTTTTGATGGAGGAGTTGTTTTAAAGATGACCAACCTGCCCAGCTAGCGTGGCTCAGTGGTTGAGCCTTGACCTCTTAACAGGAGGTCACGGTTTGATTCCAGGTCAGGACACATTGCTTTCGAAATTTTAGAAACAATAAAAAATAAGAAGGTAAAGGCATTCAAAGCTCTCCCAACCAGAAGACACCATGGTGGATATTTTGATGACTATCATTGTAGATCTCTGTGTGCATGAACGCACATGTGTGCACACACAATTTTACATTATTGACACCATGGGGGGGGTAATATCTCATGGACATCCTTTCATGTTTATTAAATTGATATCATTTTAAAGTCTCTTTGGTACTTCGTTGTCTGAATGGACCATAATTGATACAAATAATCCTCACTTGGTGGACATTTATTTAGATTATTTCTAATTATTCTGTATTATAAATAGGTTGGTTTGAGTATCCTTGGCCCCTGCCCAATAATTTCCTTAGAATAAGCTCTCAGAGGTGAAATTGCTGTCTGCATATTTCTTTTTTTTTTTAAATATATTTTATTGATTTTTTACAGAGAAGAAGGGAGAGGGATAGAGAGTTAGAAACATCGATGAGAGAGAAGCATCGATCAGTTGCCTCCTGCACGCCCCCCACTGGGGATGTGCCCGCAACCAGGGTACATGCCCTTGACCGGAATCGAACCCGGGACCCTTGAGTCCGCAGGCTGACGCTCTATCCACTGAGCCAGACCGGTTCGGCAGCATATTTCTAAGTATATGGCATACATTGCCAAACTGTTCTCCAGAAATTGTGCCAATTTACACTTCCACCAATGTCCAGGCCACCTCACATTTCTCTGAAGTCTCTCAAACTCTAGAGTTGCCGTTTTTTTTCACCTTTGTTCTGGAACTGAAAATAATGCTACATTTGCATTCTTTTGGTTACTAATGGAGTTGAATATCGTTTCCTTTGCCAGATTCCCTCTTGACACAATTGCATGAGTACTTTGTATTATCAATATTTAACATTCTCTGATTTAATATCTTTATTTGAGATCAGTTAACCGGGCACCTGGTGAGGCCTGAGGGCTTAAAGGGACACAGGATGGGGAGGTGTAATTAGAGGAGACCTGGGAGGTGAAGACCTAAAACACAGGGGCTGGAGCAGAGACCACGCAGACACTTGCCTCGGAGACTCACCAAAGTGCTGCTAACTTTTTAAATGGGGAGACCTACTTGGGGGAACACCAGTTGAATGATAGCAGACCCAAGTCTGTACGATACCAATCCAACGTTTTCCTAAGCATTGTAGTAGCATAAGGATTTGCAAGGAAGAGATGAAAGAACAAGTTCAAATGTTTTGGTTAAGAGGATGCCCACCTTCTCCCTGAGAGTCTTTCTTCTACTCAACAATCACATTGCCCTTTTTTTTCCTCTCAAAAATACACAAAATAGCCCAGCCGACATGGCTCAGTGGTTGAGAGTCAACCTCTGAACCAGGAGGTCACAGTTCAATTCCCGTCAGGGCACATGCCTGGGTTGTGGGCTCAATCCTCAGTGTGGGGCAGGCAGGAGGCAGCCGATCAATGATTCTCTCTCCTCACTGGTGTTTCTATCTCTCTATCCCTCTCCCTTCCTCTCTGAATTCAATAAAAAATATTTTTAAAAATACACAAAATAAATTATACTGTTACTTTGTCACTGAAGATGCTATTGCTACTCCGTGGCCTTACCCCGCCCCCCGCCCCCCCCCCACCTCAATCCCGCCTCTCTATTCACCCAAAGGTGACGTGTCCCAGTGCACTTGAGTTGATTTCTCTCTACACTGTTTCCTAAACATCCTGGGGGACATTCCAGGCGGCTCTCTCCACGTCATCCCCTTCTTCAGCTTTCCACCTGCCCAAACGCACCTCCCCTGGAAGGAGGGGGTGAGAGCACACCTCTTCTTTGAAACATCCTCTTCTTAACTCCAGATAGCAAGGACAGCCCGTCCTCTCCCCCTCCACTGTGTCAGGCACCTACAAAACATCAGTTCTACACCCAAACAGACAAGAGCACCGATCCACCCGAGCCGTCTGCAGAAAAGCCAGGTTACCCATTCCCGGGTCCAGGGTAAATGCCAGAACTGGATTTCTGCTGCTGGCACCCCTAACTTGATTTCCCAAAATTCACATGACGACTTCAAAAGTACTGGAGGACTTCAGGAGGAACACCTCTCTGGTTCTCCTTGCAACTATGTTGGGGATCAAGATGTTGAAACAGCAAGCCTGCGAACTGGAACTCGATTTTGTGGGTTGTTTTTTCTTTTATTTCTTTTTCTAAAACCAAATTTTTATTCTCTGGTTTGAAAAGGAGGGCAAGTGGTGGTTCTGTTTAGTTCCAGAGAACATCAATTTTGTGTTTTGAATGGCGACAGCTAGAAACAGAGCTCACTTTGACCTTGAGTGGAACATGGACACATGGGGGACCCAACCCCTGCAACAGAGGTTTCCAGCGCTGGCTGCCTGTTAGCATTTCCTGGAGGGATTTGAAAATACTGAAGCCTGGGTGGTGGTCCATCAGGAGCGGCCTGGCCATGGAAGCTCCTAGGTTACTGGACTGCGCCCTGAGGTTGAGGAGCCCTTGCTCTGCAACCATATAGAACTGTGTGACGAGGGGCAGTTGGACCTGTCTGGGTTCCCACTGCAGGCAAGCCGCTCTGGGCACATGGTCCCATCCTCCTTACACCAGAGGGGACGTGGCCTCTATCCCTCAGGGTGGCTCTGAGAACACCTGGTGAGAGTGGAACCCCAAATCCAGAGCCTCTTTTCTAGTACAGCCATGTTTCTTTCTTTTTTTTTTTCTTTTAAATTCGCACCTGAGGATATTTACTCCATTGATTTTTAGAAAGAGTGAAAGGGAGGTAGGAGAGAGAGAGAGAGAGAGAGAGAGAGAGAAACATCCATGTGAGAGAGACACAGCTAGAGAGACACAGCTATTGGTTGCCTCCTGCATGCGCCACACGTGGCCCAGTGCCAGGGAGAACCTGCAACCCAGATACATGCCCTTGATCGGGAACCAAACCCGAGGCCCTTTGGTCCACAGGCTGACTCTCTAACCACTGAGCAGACTAGCCAGGGCCACTTTTGTTTTACTGTGCCTACAGATCATCTGGGATCTTGTTAAAAGGAGTATTCTGATTTAGCAGGCCCAGGATGGGGTCCAAGATTCTGCATTTCTAACAAGCACCCAGGCAGGTCACCTTCAAGGATCATAGGTCTCTGCAGTAGAATGTCCTCTTCCTTCTTTTCCAGATCCGATCCCTTCTTCTTCCATCGCCTGGCAAGAGTGCCATCTCCTCTACTAGTAAAAGCCTCTCCCACTCATCCCCCTTATTTCTCTTATACCTGGGACAGGGCTTTGATCTTAATTATGCATCGGGATCATCTGAAAGCCTCGGGAAAATGCAGATTCCAGCTTCCTGATTCCATGGGTCTGGGGTGGAGGGGAGGGAACGCCAAGCATGTGGACATTTCTAACAAGTTCCTTGGTGCTGCTGCTGCTGCTCTGGGGACCACACTCTCCTGGAATGCCAATTCTTAAACTTGGTTGCACATAAACATAGCTAACATGCTTTTAAATCTACAGGTCTAGGTCATATCATGGCCCAGTTCACATCCGAATATCTGGATGGGACCCAGGCAACTCTGCTGCAGGTGGTTCTAGGTAAAATCCCCGACTTCTGGAGCTCAGAGGCTAAAATCACTAATTACAGTCGATCCT